TTTGTAGCCCTACAACAGGGTATGATGTACATAGAAATAGATGCAACTAAGTAGGTCACTGGTATAAAACTGGTATATTAAGAGATATTCATATGTTGTAGTTGAAGATTAAATGTGGATGAAGTGTTGGTTCCTCAGGACTACTATCTTTAGGAGGTCATACAAGAGGTCTGAAAAGGGAATGGACTAGACTGTTCAATGTTCCCTATTATTCCAGTGGTTAACAAGTATATTAGTGTTTTTCAAAATGACCTTCTGTGGTTTGCAACACTCTACAACACATGCCTTCTAAGCCCTAAACTCACTGCACCAAAAGTCTGGCTGCTGTCTATGACAGGTGGAAAGGGCAAGTGTGTATAAATTAAACCTAATCATAAATAACTTGACCAAGGAGTGGTTTAGCTGGAAAAAGAAAAATAAAAGGAGGGAGGGGGGTACCATACTATACATAAGCTCTCAACAGGTATCTTGCCTCAATCGACTAGAAAACTTTGGAATGAAGATGGAAGATAATTTTTTTTCTTTGATTTGTGTTCTCTCTATGAACCGCAAGAGATTTGTATCTGATGATATTTTTAGGGGGAAAGAGAAGCATTAACTAAAATACACAAGCAATCAAAAATACAATCATACTAAAACATTTTTACTTTCCAAATATCTTAACCAGGGTCACTGATAAAATTTCTTTCTCAAAATTCAACATTTGGGTGCCTCATCTGCTGCTCTCTGTTCTGAAGTTCTACAAAAATTCCTTTGCCTTTGGCCCCTCTGTGACCCTTAAAGTACAAAAACAAGGTGAATATATTTATACTTATCCCTCTCCAGTCATTTTTAAAACTACAGAGCTAGATTTCTATGGTTAGACATAGAAGGTTGAAAAGAGCCATCAAACACAGCCTTTGAATCTGCAGGTCAATATTGTGTGACAAGTAGAACCATTATTTTAAAATGCTAAGAGATGGAAATAATTTAAGGGGTAGTTATGAATTGATCAAGAGACATTGGGGGCAGAGAATGAGTGTTGAGAGTACTGAAGGGAAAGGAAAGAGAGACAGGGAAAAGGGAGGGGAGAGGATGTTTTTGCCATTACTAGCCATGTGAACTTGTTTTAGTTTATAAAGTGGAGACAGTAATGCTTGCTCTGATAGTGCAGGGGAATTGGGAGTATCAGCTGATATAACAGTACTACAGTGATGTGCTTACATTTTTACCTTTAGCTCATGGTTTTGAGTTGAAAAGGAGACAGCTCTGAACACATTTACACATGTATACTTTTGTATCTAGCTCCTGGTACAAATTATTTGAATAGCTTTTTCAATGTTACACCTTTAGAGAGAGATCTCACTATTTAATTACTTTGTAGATATTATGAAGCAGGTGCTGGGGGGGCATTGTTTTCAGAGTCACATCAGTTACTCCAGAAGAGGGCACCATTACACAAGAAATGTTTGAAGTTACTCCTAATAAAGCGGGAACATGCTTCTAGAGTGTCAAACAGGAGAAAGATCTGTGAGAGGCCAGCAAATCAGTCATGAGTTTGTCTTTGATATGCCCGTTCTTGTTTCATTACTCACCTCCTCATTCCCCAAAAACCTTCTCAGCTAGCTGTAAATGAGATCTGAAAACACAGTGGTTCTCAATCTTTTCACTTCTAAGGGTTATTTGCATTGTTTTTCCTCATGGATCTGACATTTTTAGACATTTTATCTACTAACTGCATTTAATAATAATTGATTCATTGTCATTTTATAATTTATGAATAAGATACAAATGCAGTTTAACAGTGTCACATCAGCATGTGATACAAAAAAAAAACCCATTGCCGTCGAGTAGATGCTGACTCATAGTCATATACTCAATATACTCATGAGTTATAGGACTCATAGTGACCCTACAGGACACTGTAGAACTGCCCCCATAGGGTTTCCAAGGCTGTAAATCTTTATGGAAGTAGATTGCCACATCTTTCTGGTGGGCTTGAACTGCCGACCTTCCAGTTAGCAGTCAAACTCTTAACCACTGTGCCACCAGAACTCCTTTTAGTGTTGCATTACTGAGCTGAAATTTCAGCCATTGGTAAGCAAACTTGTTTTAGTTAGCCAAGAGTAACCATAGGCACAGGAAATACACAATTCCCATTCAGATTTTTGAAATGTTGAAAACAGCTTGCAGAACCCAGTTACTTTTTTGAGGATTCCTAGAGGTCGGAGATCCCAGATGAGAGAGAATGAAAGGGATCTCATATACTTGGCAGAGGGTCAGCGAGAGGAAGACCCTCAATGAGATGGATTGACACAGCGGCTCCAACAATGGGTTCAAAGATAGCAACGACTATGAGGATGGCGTAGGACTGGGCAATGTTTCCTTCTGTTATATTTGGGGTGGCTGTGAGTTGGAATCAACTTGGTGGCACATAACAATAGCATAAGGCATAACTGAAAACTTGTTATCTGAAGACATAATACCTCCTCCAGGCATACCTGGATTTTAATTGAGAATACTTTCTATAATCTTTACCCAAAGGACTGAATCGCTAATGGAGGAATTTCAGACAACTTGGCAATAAACAAGGGATCTGTGCAGTGCGTCGTATATATTTACCTATCTGGCAAATCTGGTAAATATGTATGTTTATAACAATATTAGGTGCCTCCTGTATTGGATACTTTAGCTAGATTGTCAACAAATCTCACAACAATCCTATAAAGTAGAATATCATTACTCATCTCCCTTTTACAGACGAGAAAAAAGACACAGAAAAGTTTGGTAATTTGCTCCATCATACAGCTACCAAGGAATGAAATTGAGATTCAAATCTGTGTCTGACTCCTAAGCTCAGATCATCATGCTGCCTCAAGACAACAGTCTTCTCATTAGAGAATAGACTGCAATATGGAAGAAAAATCAAGAACTAAACTTTCCACACAAAAAAATTAATACTGAAAAAAAAATTCAAGTCACCTATTTTAAAGAATAATCTCCCAAAAAAACAATTTAATAACACATATTCCCATCTTTAATACTTGTGGTCACACGTGTGTAGAAGCAAAGTGTCTTGGTTTCAGAATAGGCTTCATTCAATACATTTAACTAGACAGTGTTATAATGCAGCCATTGGTAAAATTAGATGGATTTAACTGGTACCTAGACATGGCTGGAGTCACAAGACTTTGGATTCCTCACTCTACTAAGAAACCTGTCGCAGTCCAAAATCAAAGATGGAACAGAGTCGTTGGTGCTCCTTTTTCTAAGGGTTGGCAAGGATAGGTGCAGAAATGGACAGGTGGAAGCAATACTCAAGAATCTTGCATGAACTCAGTATTTCGCAGTATCCTCATCAACTCTTATAAGCACAAAACCTTACAGTTGGAAGGAATCTTCAAAATCATTTAGTTGAGCCATTTTGTTAAGCTAAATATAGAAAATCCTTCTTCAACATATCAGTCAAGGGATCATCAAGCCTCTGCTTGGATGCCCTAAATACTGGGAAATTCATTATTTTAGAAAACTGCCTATTTCATCTTCAGCACGGTAGTCTAACAGGAAGTTCTTCATACTGAGCTGAAAATTTTCTCCTAACTTCCACTAACTGGCACTGATTCTAAGCTGTAAGACCCCCTAAAAAGTCTGCATCTCCTCACCTCCCACAAGTCTTTTCTATGCCAGATTATCCTCTTTGTACTTTGAGCAGGGTTTGGAATGCCTTCGTGACCGCAGCTCATCTTCTTACATGCCATGGTAGGATGGTCAGGGCCCACTGAAAACCAATAGTCAGCCGTTAGTGGTCTGACCACTCACGGAGTGTAGTGGGTCTAACCAACCCTTCTGCACTCCCACAGGGCATGGATGCAGCTCTCCACAGTGCTTCACTCTGAACTTCTCTGCTATCAGGATGGTGAGATCTGGAGACAGGCAATCGTTCAATCATTCTTGCGATCTAAGGCTTTGAGAATCCTTAGAAACTTCTTAGAAAAAAAACTTCCTCAACCATGTCAGCATCAGTTGTCTACTCAACATGCTAAAAACATTCTTGACTGCTCCATGTTCTCCAAGCCCAAGAGACCTGACCATTCCACCATTTGGTTTGAAAAAACCTACCAGAAAAAATTCTGGGAGAACTATCCAGGTCTCATCATGAACAGTAATGGATCAAATGTAGCTAAATTGCCATTGTCCTCCAGAAGCTAAACTTCTATCAGTCATCTTCCTTTTTTTTCTCGAAATCTCTAATTCAGAACTTTCCTCATTCACAAACTATTTTGCAATCATTCTGCTTCCCTTCTAGCTCCAACATCTGAAAATATCTTGACTTCTCATTGCCATGCTATAGGGACAGCCTGAAATGTGGGGAGGAACCAGAGGAATAATAGAGCCAGATGTCTACTGCCACAGGCCGTCTGGACATTGCCAGTCACAACGTGGAGCAATTTGTTCATGTTCAAGCTGGTCACAGAGAAGATCCTGAGCAGCAACAACTGGATGGAAGGAATTCTTTTTGTAAAGTATCCAACACATATATGTAAATTCTTTCTAATAATGCTAAAAGATTTCAGCTGCAAAGTATGTATGCAACCTGACCACATACCATTTTCTGGAATTTGTGTTAAATCCAGTGAGATCCACTTAACATAGGAACTCAGTAGTACGGGTACAGAGAAATGGACTACTGGGTAGTTAATTAGCATTCTATGTATTTGAGAAACTAATGCATGTCTGAAAATTTAGTTATGTTTAATTGGAAACAGTCCAGTGATTCCATGTTTCTTTTTATTGCAAATGGTATATTCTTAATAAATTCATGGTAAAATTAAAATAAACTAAAAAAAAGCTTTAAAATGTCAAAAAAGGAAAAAAGCAAGTAACGAGAACAAAATATGCAATGAGGTTAATAGCACATATGCTTGGCTTTAGAGGATCCTTATATATTTGGTTGATTAAAACATTCTATAGTAATGCTGTACATTTTTACAAAAAAAAAGTTTCCAAAAGAAAAATAAGAATCAAACATTTATGACTGGAGTTAGTTGTAGTAAGGAATTGGGTGTGATTGCTTGACTGCTCTTTGTGCCTTCAAGGTTCTGCAGAAAATTCGGTCTTCTTTTTAGTCCATCCAAAATGACTGAATTATTAGATGCCAGACTCTGTGTCCTAAAGATATTAAAAATAACAGAATTATTACCTTAATAAGGGACCTGGAATTTCTAATCAAGGAATTATAGCTTCATTTGTTACTTTGAAGCAGTACATTTATTAACACTAAGATACATTTTTCAGATAAATTGACATCTAAAGTTACCAACAGATATCTATTCAGTGCCTCCTATAGGGTCACTATCTATGGGGCAGTTCTACTCTGTCCTATAGGGTCGCTATGAGTTGGAATCGACTTGATGCCAACGGGTTTGGGTTTGGGTTCTTATGTGCTAGGCAAGGAGCCCTGGTAGCGAGACAGTTAATTGCTTGGCCCATAACCGAGAGGTTGGTGGTTTGAACCCACCCACTAGCTCCACCGGAGAAAAGACCTAACAAGATACTCCTGGAAAACCTAGGAAACTCTACGGGGCAGTTCTACTCTGTCCTATAAGGTCTCTATGAGTCAGAATCGACTCAATGACACACAACAATATGTGCTACTCAGAAGTCCCTGGGTGGTGCAAATGGTTAATGTGCTCAGCTGCAAACCAAAAGGTTGGCAGTTTGAGTCCACTCAGTGGCATCTTGGAAGAAAGGCCTGGTGATCTACTTCCCCAAAAATCAGCCATTGAAAACCCTAGGGAGTACAGTTTGCTCTGATATACATGGGGTCACCATGAGTCTGAATCAACCCTACAGCAACTGGTTTGGTTTTTTGGTTTTACATTTTAAAAGTGTCACAATAGCACTTCAATTATTTAAAACTACTTTCTTTCTTTTTTGTGATTTAGTTGAAAGTTTACAGAGCAAATTAGTTTCTCATTCAAAAATTTATACACAAATTGTTTCGTGGCATTGGCCACAATCCCGCATTGTGTCAGCACTCTCCCCACTTTCCCTTTCCACCATGGGTTCACTGTGTCCATTTGTCCAGTTTTCCTATTCCCTCCCGCCTTCACGTCTTTGTTCCTGGGCAACCGTTGCCCATTTGATCTTGTATACTTGATTGATCTAAGATGCGCATTCCTCATGGGTGTTAATGTTTGTCTTATAGGCCTGCCAAATATTTAGCTGAAAGGTGAACTTCAGGAGTGGCTTCAAGTCTGAGCTAGAAGGGTGTCCAGGGGGCTATAATCTCGGGGGTTCCTCCAGTCTCTGTCAGTCCAGTAAGTCTGGTCTTTTTTATGAATTTGATCATTTGTTCTACATTTTTCTCATGCTCTGTCCAGGACTCTCTGTTGTAATCCCAGTCATAGCAATCAGTAGTGGTAGCCAGGCACCATCTAGTTTTGGTCTCAGGGTTGTGTAGGCTGTGGTTCATATGGTCCATTAATCCTTTGGACTAACTGCTCCCTTGAGTCTTTAGTTTTTTTCCCCCCTCCTTTGCTCTGGACTAGAAGAGACCAATAGTTGTATCTTAGATGGCCACTGACAAGCTTTTAAGACCCCAGACACTACTCACCAAAGTAGGATACAGAACATTGTCTTTAAGAACTATGTTGTGCCAATTGATGTAGATGTCCCCCTGAGTCTATGGTCCTGTGCCTTTGAGCCTTGGAATCTCATCCTGTGAGGTGTTTAGTTATGTCTAAGAGCTTCCCCTGACTGTGTCACTTGTGTGCTCTATTGTCTATATTAATATATGAGGAAAAGCTACTTTCTAAGGAGTTCATATTTTCTGAACAACATCTGTTCTCAGATTCAATATCAAGTATATTCCAGTCAGAAACAAAAAGTAAGTTCCTTGGAAAACTCTTCCATACAACTAAAGTGATCAATATTTTCCTGTGTAATTTATTTTTGTTTCTGGGAAGTCACACAGAAAGGAAAAGCCAACTAAAATATTTTTCATATTGACAATGTTCCTTTCCTAGAAGCTGTAAGCTATTTTAGTCCCTCATCTGATATATCTACATTGCTTCAGCCAAATCACATTAATGTTTGGTTATTTTTGCTTTTGACATTCCCCTTTTCCCACTTTGCCCCTTCCTACCACTTGTATAATACATTAAGCTATGTCTCAAAACTCTGTCCAGTAAGTGTTCCTTCACACAGCCTACCACTCTTAACTCCACATTTCTTTGGCAGTTATGAAGAATTTATGCTTTTTCTTGAGTTCAATTTCTCCTCAGTTTAACTAAACTATAAGCTTTCTGTAGGTAGCAGCAATTTCTTGTTCATCTCCATCCCCCCTCATCCTTATAACAATTCTGGTACATAGTTGATGGTCAAATGTTATTTTCCCTCCCCATTCCTCTAAATGTCTTTAATATATACCTTCCAAGAACATCATATTATATGCTATTTTTGAGAAATTAAATTTCTCAAATTAAAATTCTCTACTGCATGTCAAGGAGTAATTTCCATAATCTGTTTCTTTTGCCAAAGAAAAAGAAAGGGAACCTGTGGCTTCTTGGTTTACACCACCATTGTTTACTTTAATTTTCTTAACAGACTTGATATAAATTTAACTATTGTTTCAAGTAGAAAAGATTTTGTTCCCCCAATAAAGAAGTAATGTTTTAAAAATGTAGACTTCCAGGAGTTTAGCCTAAGTAAATAAAAGGAAATGCCCACTACATATATATATATATGTAAAAATAATGCACTGCTAATTGATTTATTATAGCAAAAAAATTGGGAACAATCTAAATGTCAAAAAAAGAAAAATAATGGTTATATAATGAGGCCCACATTATGGAATACTAAACAAACATTAAAAAGAATGAGTCAGATCTCTATAATAGTGATCCTGCATATATCCATTAAGTTAGGTGAAAAAACAAAGCCATGGCTCTGTATGATTTTGTTGTTGTTGTTAAAAAAAAAATTTTTTTTTTTAAATTTCTATTTACAAATGCATAGAAAAAAGTTGAGAAGAATATATACCAAGCTGTTAACAATGCTCAGGTCACCTCTCTAGAATGGGACTGGGAAAGGTGTGGAAATGGAGACTTCCAGTTTTACTTTTGAAATTTCTGTATTGTTTTAATTTTTCAAAAGAAGGCACACAATTTTATATAATAAATAAACTAGTAAAGGTTTATACCAAATTTTTACAAGGATCATTTAAAAGATTATTTAATAACATGAGGAAATGTTCATGATATACCATTTATTTAAAAAGGCAAGATGCAAAGCACAGCTGGTCTAGAGTATGAGCCCCATAGGCAAAATCTTCCTGTTCAGAGTGCAGTGTTATTGGGAAGTACAACTGACATAAAAGAGGTTTTAAAAATACCTAGATGGTAGGATCATTGTTGGTGTTCTCAAAAAATATTTTTTAGTACTTCTCAAATGTTCTAGTATATTTTATAATCTGAACCATGTTATTTAAACAAATTGGTATGAAAAACAATAGTGGAAAATAGCCACATCTTTAAACACTTCACGATTTCTCTAAGGTAGCAATATACTATATCATGATCTGTGTGAAAGACTGTCCAAACTGTGGTCATTATTCTTTATTTCTATTTTAAAAACCTACCGATTCTTATTTATACAGCACAGATTGTACATTATGAGCACAAGTGATGCAGGAAAATAGGTACCATTTCCAAAAATAACTGGATTTCACATTTTATTTGTCAAGTGTAATTATCATTCATTCAAGTAGATCAATACAGGTATCCTCATATTAAAACTGAAGGAACCAACACCAAGAAATTAAGTGATTTTGCACTAAATCACTCTTTCTCAACCTAGGTAGACCCAGGGATATAAGTGAAAACTTCCAATTCTCAGTTTAGGGAGTGCTTGGTTTATAGCAGTTGTTTTTTTTTTTTAGAAATAATTCAAGGTTTAGTGGTAGTGGGTCAGTCAAATTTCTGTTCACATTAAAGATGAACTTTATCCTACTATGTAAGAGATTTCATCATAATTTTGTACAATTTATTCAGTAAAGGGGGGCAGAATTATATCATTATAAAAAGTTTATCCAGCAATCTCCCACCAGTTAACCCAAGATGCCCTTGATTTTAATAATTCTTGTGGGACAGTGGCTAATCAAACACTTTCATGTGCACTTACCGAGGAGAATCTATTCCACTATCTCCTGCCATGCTATGATTTTCTGTTCCTTCCAAGTGACTGTGTTCCTGTTGGATAGCCTGAGACAACACTGGCATATGTGAAGAACTGAAGAGTTCTAACTTCTGTTTGAAATGTTTTTTCATTTCCTGATTCTGAGGATTCTGACTCCAGGTAGCTGGTTTGTTTCCTATGTCACCAACAGAGTCTTGCAGGGTTTCAGCCTCAGAACTGGCTTTCCTTGTGCTATAGTAATCAAATATACTTCCATCAGCAAGCGCTGAGGCCTGTACACATTCAACAACACTGGGTTCCTCCTCATAATTAAAAGCAAACTTGGTCCCTGAATTAAGGCCACAGCTTTCAGTAGCGAGATTAGGTTTTTGGCTTTCACTTGGGTTAGTGAGCAACTCACTGGGTTTGTAACACTCATTGCCATTAAGCACTGGAGGCTCAAGTCTATGTATTCTGCTGTTGTACTCAGTCAGAGCTCTATCAGCCACCTTTTGTTTTCCTAAATGATTCCACTTACTTCCACCTGGAAAGGAATACTGAGTATGAGCAGGCAGTATTTGACGTAAGTCATCATTCTCTGAAAAGTCATCATCATCTAGGTATAATGAACTGCAGGCACCATCATCATCTTCCACTTCATTTTCATACAAGGCCTGGTCATTGTCAGAAGGCTCTTCAATTTCTAGATTAGCAGTCTCTGTGTCCTGGATAAATGCCTTTCTCGTTAGTTCTTCCTCTGAGTCTCTGTTTTGTCTCTCAGGTTGTCTCAAATGGTTTACACCAACTGGGTAATCCAAAAGGCCAAGATTTTGGAACTGTTGTATTGTTTTAGCAACTAGTCCACACGCAGAGGAAGCTTGGTCTAAAGAGGAGGGATCTTGTGATGGCAGGGTGTGCTGCACTTCTTTTGTCTCCCCTAATTTATCAAGGTGACTTTTCCCCAAGCCTTCAGGGATTACCTCCTTTTCTCCACCATACACATCATATCCCGACATGCCTTCCCTAAAGGAACAGCATTTACTGTCAATTTTCAAAACACTACCTTGCGGGGAATCCGGGAGGTGATTTCTGATAGGTTTGACAGAATTACTCCTATAAATTGATTCTCCTTTCAGTTTATCTTTACGTTGTTCTGTATATGGCTGTTTGGTTTCGTGGTTGAAGATTCTTGAGGCATCTAAAGACCCTGATCTTTGGAAAGTCCTTTCCTTTGGTCCACTCTGACTAGGTTTCAGATCACTGGTCTTCTGACTCTTGTGACCTTTGGTCATTGGGCTCCTTCGGTGAGGCAAACCCTGGAAGGGATTGCTGATTCGCCTTTTGTAAATCACATGGGAACCTAGCCCTGCTGGATTCTCACCAAGTGGTTTCTGGACTACTTCATGTGGGCTTTTACTTCTGGGGGTGGGCTGTGTAGCAAGGAGCTTAGGGTGCGTCTCCTGTTTAATGTTTCTTTGCTGAGGCTCACTTGCCTGAATCCTGCCTTTGTGTCTATGAGAATGACCCTGCCTTCGAGGCTTTGCAGACTGACTCTGCCTTTTCTTAACTCCCTCTTTTGAAGAATATTTGTGCCTACCTATCTGCATATCAGTGGAAGTACCCTGGCTATTATACTTTTTCTGTTCTTCATATTTTTGCATCAGGACAGTGTGTTTGATTAAGTTGTCAACAGTCAGAATGGGGTTAATTCGTTTGATTATCTCATGTTCAATGTCTCGTGGGATATTGTCCAAGTTATCTTCATCTCGAACAGGCCATTCTTCAGGTGGGAACTGGGCGGAGAAACTGCTGTGCTCTGTTTTAGGTTTCTCTTTTCTGGATATATTCCGCCAGAAAAGACTAAAGCCAAACTTCTTGCCTTTTTCTCTGTCTTTTGTACATGGTAAAGGTTTGGCCCTGTCACAGACGTGATTCTCCTCAGACACTGAAACTGCCTGATTCTGTACCAAAGGTTTGGATTCCCTGAGACCCTTCTGGCCTTTTCTAATCACATCTGCAGCAATTTGCGGCTCCTGTACATCCTGAGTGCACACATCAGGAAAACATCGGCAAGACTGACAATGGGAAATGGAGGCAGCATTTTCTTTGGCTAATTCTGCAGAGCTGCCCATGCTCACCAGATATGTAATGGAAGTTGGCATTGGGTGGCTTTCATCTGACAGGGCTTTCTTATTTTCTTGGTTGGTTATATTTGTGATAAAGTAAGTCTGAGGAGTAACTATGAAGTATCCTTCTCCAGTGTGATAAATCTTTCTTTCTTTAATCAGAGTTCCCAGAGTGGTATAGAGAATATCTTGAGATGGAACTGCAATACCTAAAACAAACAAGTATTTCACACACGGATTGATTTTGAATAAGAAACATTTTCATGAATGAAATCAGTAACTTAGAAATGACTACACATTTGCAGGATGAACCCAATTAATTATACGTAATTAAGTATATGTAATAAAATTAATACATGGGATAGTGCCAAACAAGAATTAACAAATTTCATAACTTAATTGAATAATGGGGATATTATTTGATTCAGACAAAAAAAATATAGCTAGGATAATAGTTAATGAAAACTGAGTCCACGCATAAATTTAAAATGTGACTGAGAAAAGCATTCTTGGTGAACAAACATGGGAGATTTTGAAGAACAGTCTCAATGGCTCAAATCTTCGTAAGAATCTATAGAAAAAATGGGGCAGGCTTCAAAACATCTGGATATGGTGTTTTTTTCAAGCTGGGAAGGTAACAAAATAATTTTAAAAGAATTTCTCTTTTCCAAATTAAAAAAAAAAAAAAAACCCACTGCCGTCGAGTCGATTCTGGCTCATAGTGACCCTATAGGACAGAGTAGAACTGCCTCATAGGGTTTCCAGGGAGTGGCTGGTGGATTCAAACTGCTGACTTTTTGGTTAACAGCCAAGCTCTTAAACCACTATACCATCAGGACTCCCTTTTCCAAATAGCAAGGTTCAAAATTGTATTATGAAAACAATGTTAAAAATTGTGTAAGAAAAATTTTAGATAAAAAAAATCAGTATGTTAACATTGGTTTTCTTTGGTGGTAGTACTGGGAGGGAGTTCTTTTTTTTTTTTTTTTTTTTTCCTATAATGAGCACATATATTTTTATAATGGGAAAAAATTAAATACTCTTCTACATTCATACACTGGAAAATCATGCAGCTATTAAAAGAGTGAGATGGATCAATGTGTGCTGATATAGAAAGATCTTCAAGATAAAATTTTAAGTTAAAAAAAGTGTAGAGAGCATGTATAGGATTACCCAATTTATGTTAAAAAAAAAAGGGATATATATATATATATATATACCCAAATACAATTTATGAAAGTAAACATAAGAAACTATTAACAATAGCGATTGTCACCTCTGGGAAGTGGGAATAGAGGGATTAGAAGGTGGGGGAAGATGAACTTTTCCTTTTCACCTTGCAGCCCCCCACGACAGAGTCTGACTTATATATTTATTTACTGTCATAGGCATTTTTTTAAAAAGCTCATCTGAAAAGTAAACGAAATTTTTTAATCAAATTTGTTGATATAGGCCTTTTTTATGTCAGGACTCTGATATAAGGTTCTAGAGAAGAAAAAAAAAGATATTACCCAGTCTATTTATGTGTTTAAGATTATAAATACAAACCAATCACATGAAATGAACCATTAATAGAGAAACATTACCTGGGTAATGTTTCACCAAATGCTCCAGCAGTGATTCCTGAGTTACTACAATCTGAGCTGCATTCATATCAGATACAGCACAGCAAAGAACTTCAGCCAAAGGTATAAACTGAGATTGAGCTATTAGATTCATTTGCACTGGAAAGACATCACCTACATTGGAGATTTAAAAAAAAAAAGGCAATAAATTAGTCATAGTATAAAATGTTTAGAATTAGTGAATCGAGAATAGCTATAAAGACGGAGTAGCAGGTGGAACTGTTATTCTTTCATCAGTGTTTACTCAATCTATTAACATGACATGCACATGGAAGAAAAAGGTTAAGTTATGGTCCCCACTTTTAAGAAGTCTGCAATATCTGTCATTGCCTTACAAGTCATATGTGAGGCACAAGGTGTTAGCAGAGTTCAGGAGGACAGACAATGTTTATATGACAGTTCACATATTTCAAAGCATTTTTTTTTCATATTAGCTATCTGAGACAAGCAGAGATGGGATTATTATCCTTTATTTAAAATTCAAGAAACTGACTATAGAAAGCTCAGGTAATTGTCCTAAGATCTAAAAGCAAGTAAAGTGACAGAAACAGGTCTTCTGACTCCGAATTCTGTATTTTCACCATTTCACACTTTCCTGATTTCTATGATTAGGAAGATTTGAAGAAGGAACGGGGAAAAGTATATTCCAACCAAGCAAGAAGACATGCAGCAAAACCATGGAAGAAAGAAAGCGCAAGGCATTTAATTTAAGGACATGGATAGAGTTATCCTGATTAGATAGAGTTTAAGGGTTATATAGGACTAAAGTAGAAGATAAAGTTGGAAATATAAACTTGGCCATATTACCTTTCCTCTTTGCCAATGTATTAAAGAGTCTTCTTAACCTGCCGTCACTCAGATTGAGTTTTAGATTCTGCTGAACATCCAAGGGAACCCTTCAATCAGTCGGAAATCTCAGGAAAGACATTTGGGAATCAACTAATAGAGATAAAATCTGAAGCTAAAGAATAAAATTAATAGGAGAGTAAAGAAGAGAGCCAAGGAATACTACCTTAGGGGATAGTAGCAACGTTGTCATTAGTTGCCTTCGAGTCCATTCCAACTACAGGAACCCACAAAAGAAAGAAAGAGTACAATAGTGAAGGTAGGAGGGAGAATCAAGAGTCTGAGAAAAAAGAGCTTCAAAAAGACCAAGTGTGAAGATACATACTTAGGGGACACTGAGCTTCTGTTAAAGGTGATGGAAATATCTGAGAATGGGTAATGGTGATAGTTGAACAACATGACGAACATAATTAATGTCATGGAACTGTATAAGTGAAAAGTGTAAAAATGGCAACTGTTTTGTTACCTATATATTTACCACAATAAAAAGAGAGGAAAGGAACAAGTGAAAGTGTTAAATGCTTGAAAGAGATCACAAAGATTGAGAAAGAAGAAATGCCACTAGATTTCTTGATTGGAAGGTGACCACTGGTGACTTTCAAGGGAACAGTTTCAACAGAAGGCACAAATTAAATGTCAGATTAAAGGGAAGGGAGTTCGAATAAAAAAGTGAAGGTTATGGGTCTTTCTTCTAGTGTTTCTCAACTTTGCACTTTTGACATTTTGGGCCTGTTACAGATTGAACTGTGTCCCCAAAAAATTTGTGTTGTAAATTCTAACTCTATGCCTGTGGTTATAATCCCATTTGGGAATGAGTTTCTGTTATGTTAATGAGGCAGGATTAGTCTAGGGCATGTTTTGAGTTAATCTCTTACAAGACATAAAAAGAACGGATTAGGCAAGCAGACATTGGGGAAGACACATGCCAAGCCACATGAAGATCACCAAGGAGCCAAGGAATAGAGGCCTTCCCCCAGAGCTGACAGAAAGGCTTCCCCAAGAGCCAGCAGCCTGAATTTGGAGTTTTAGTCTCCTAAACGGTGAGAAAATAAATTTTTGTTTGTTAAAGCCACCCACTTGTGGTATTTCTGTTACAGAAGCACAAGATAACTTAAGATAGAATTTGGTACCAAAGAGAGGGGTGCTGGTCTGATACCTAAAATGTGGAAGCAGTTTTGGAATTGAGTAACGGGTGGAAGCTGGAAGAGTTTTAAGGTGCCTAAGAGTAAAAGCCTAGATTGCCTTGAAGAGACTGTTGGTAGGATTATGGATGTCAAAGGCAATTCTGGTGAGGGCTGAGAAGGAAGTGAGGAAAGCTATAGAGAAAATATCATGTTAGAAAACACGCATGGCACCAGCAACAGAATGTTGCTAGAAATGTGGACATTAAATGTGCTTCTGGTGAGGCTTTAAAAGAAAATGAAGAACATGTGATTAGACAATGGAGGAAAGGTGATGCGTTTTATGCAGTGGCAAAGAACGTGTCTGAATTATGCTCAAGTGTTTGAAGGAAGGTAGAACTTGTAAGTGGTGAACTTGGATATCTGGCTGAGGAGATTTCAAAGCAAGGCCTGAAAGGGGCCATGAGATTTCTCTTTGCCACTTATAGTAAAATGTGGGAGGACAGAGATGGACTTAAAAATGAGATGTGCAAAATGAAAACAGACTTAAAAGATCTGGAAAATTCTGTTGTACAAACTAAGGACACATGTCCTAGGATGTACACCAAGGACGTGGCTACATAATCTTTTGTTAAAGAGATTAAGCCTGTGACTGATGGATCTAATCAACTACCACAGCAGGAAACCCATCAGCTTAGACTGAAGGGAACAGAGAAAAAAAAGAAAGGAAAGAATGCTGTCTGCCTCTTGGAATTCTACTGGCAGGAAACAGGCCAAAGGAGCTACATCTGTTGTCCTCCAAGAAAAGAAAAGGACCATCCCTGGAGCAGCTCAGAAATCAGCAGAACTGTTGGAAGGAACATGGGGAGCAGAGCAGCCTTGGTCTCAAAGGGTGGGGCCACAGCTTCTGGGGTCTGAAAGCATGGGGCTATGGCCTCTGGGATTTCTAAGGGTAGAGCCACAGTCTCCTATGTTTCAAAGAGTCAGATCTTCACCAACTCAGTTCTGGAGTGTAGGGCTGCCATTCAGTTTGGCAAAAGGATGGGGCCACTGCCCAAAGCTGAGGGTGCGGGGCTGTCATGCCCAAGGAACAGAAGAATGGGGCTTGCTGGGGCTGCGGGGGTGGGGTCACCATTCAGATGGACTAGGAGAATGGAGCAGCCCAAAGCCAAGGGAGCACAGGTGTCATCTCAGTGGGTCTGTAAGGTGGGGCTGAAGCCCAGGGCCGAGGGGCCTCCACCCAGAATCCAGAGGGTGTGGCCAATACCCAGAGTCTGGAGGGCAGAGTCATTGCCCAGATGATCTCAAAGAACAGAGGATTATTTTCAAGACTTGAGAGATAATATCATTTGTTCTGCTGGGTTTTGGACTTGCTTGATGCCTGTTATCTCTTCTTTCTCTCCAATTTCTCTCATTTGTAATGGAAATGTCTACCTTGTGCCTGTTGCACCATTGTACTTTGGAAACAGATAATTTGTAGTCTAGATTTCACAGGTTCACAGATGAAGAGGAATTTTGCCCCAGGATGGAATACACTTAAAATCTCACCCATATTTGATACAGATGATCCAGAAGATGAGATTTTGGACTTGGAGTTGATTTAAGACTTTTGGGATGATGTGCTGGGGTGACTGTGTTTTACATGTGGCAAAGACATAATTCTGGGGGGCCAAAGGGTGGAATGTTATGGATCGAATTATGTGCCCCCAAAATATGTGTTGCAAATCCTAACCTCTGCCTGTGGTTATAATCCCATTTGTAAATGGGTTGTGTTTGTTACGTCAATGAGGCAGGATTAGTGTAAGGTGTACCTTGAGTCAATCTCCTTCGAGATATAAAAGAGATTAAATAAGCAAGTAAGCAAAGATGGGGGAACAGAGATGCCAAGCCACATGAAAATCAACAAGGAGCCAAGGAATAAGGGCCTTCCCCCACAGCCAACAGAGAGAGAAAGCCTTCTCCTAGAGCCAGAGCCCTGAATTTGGACTTTTAGCCTCATAAACTGTGAGGAAATAAATTTGTTTGTTAAAGCCACCCACTTGTGGTATTTCTGTTATAGCAGCACTGGATAACTAAGACAGGGGCAGATATAGGATGACCAGCCATCCCAGTACACCCAGGGCTGACGGTTTCTTAGAACACAGGATTTTCAGTGCTAAGACTGAGAAAGGTGCAGGCAAAGCAGGGTAGTCAGTCACTCCAGCCAGATAATTCTTTGTTGTGGGGGCTATTCTGTATTGTAGGATGTTTAGTAGCATCCCTGGCCTCAACCCACTAAATGCAAGTAACATCTTCCACAGTTGACAACCAAAAATGTCCCCGACACTGCCAGATGTCCACTGAAGGACAAAATTGCCCCAGTTGAAAACCACTGTTCTAGACAATTCGTTTGAGTAATCTAATTGTGAAAGAGGAGAAAGAATACAAACCAGAAAAGAGTAGGCTCAAGTAAATGTGAATGTGTGTGTGTGTGCGTGTGTGGTGATTTTCTTAAAAGAAACACTCTGTATCTTTCATGCAAAAAGGAAGGGCTTAGCAGAGTTGATGGAAATGATTCTAGAAGAGTAAGACCACAAGATACCAGAGGGGAAAGGAAAAATGAATCAAAGACAGAGGCATGGTGCGGTCACACCCAGAACAAGTAAGACCATGTTTGCTGGCTGCAACTCAGGAGAAGCCCAGACTCTCTCACCCAGTAACCACAGAAGCATGCTCTTACACCCTCACCCCTCTGGTGAACACTGGCTATCACAACACGGATGAATCTGCAGGGCATTATGCTGAGTGAAAGAAGTCAAACACAAAAGGACAAATACTATATGAGACCACTATTATAACTAAAAACACATGAAAATGTTTCCACACAGAAAGAAACAACGTTTGATGCTTACTAGGGAGGGGAGAGATGGGGAGGGAAAAACACTAACTAGATAGTAGATAAGTGGTAACTTTGGTGAAGGGTAAGCCAGTACACAACACCAGGGAAGTCAACACAACTTGACCAGGGCAAAGTCATAAAAGCTTCACAGACACATCCAAACACCCTGAGAGATGGAGCTACTGGGCTGAGGGCTGGGGACCATGGTCTCGGGAGCACAACTAGCTCAACTGACACAACATAGTATATAAAGAAAATAGTCTACATCC